GTGGGGGGTAAAGTAGGGGAAAAACAAGACGAGTACAAGAACTAGAAGAAGAGATTGTGGATAGCGAGGGGTGGGGAGGGAATAAAGGGGTAAGTGAGAGGGATGGGAGTCGTAGAGGTACAAAAGGACGAGGTCAAGACAATAATTTGTGTCAGTTTAGTTTTAGTTTTGGTCAGTGTTAGGGCACGTTCAACACAATCAGGTTATATATAAGTGCTAATGATTAGAGACATCACTAGTGAGTGACATACAGAGAAAAGCAGGAGGAGAAAATATAAGGATGATATGAAAGAAGGAGTGAATTACACCAGAGCACCCACCCGCCAACCATCCTCCAACAAGTAGTGAACACGATTAAAGATTCCAATATTAATGAAGCGTGTGACCAGACAAGAAAAGGCAGACATGAATTTAAAATTGTGTTTACAATGCCATAATGGAAAAGTTGGGGAATGTGTGTGTGGCCGGGGGAGGGGGCAGCCCAATACCATAAATCGAGCTTGGGGTGGCTAGAGAGTACGAATAAAGGGACGCAGTAGGGGGAAATCAACCAGCTCATCAAATTTACATGTGACAGCCTGAAAATTAATAACGGGCACTTTAATGACGTGCACCGACCAAGATTTTGCGTAGTTTGTGTCGTGACGATATAGGTACCCACTACGGTAGATGGGGGGTAGTAGTGAACATTTGCCAAATTGTAGCCTAAAGGCTTAATGTTCCTCTCAACACAGAAATGTTCTTTAAGAGACAAATTCTCCTAATCTAAATCCATCTCCGACAGGGCTGAACCAGATGGGTACAGAGCCCTTAAAAACTCTCCAGATCAGCCTGTGTTCAGAGCGCCCCGATTGGGATTTGAACCAGGTCCATCCACTTCATTTTCCAGCATGATACTAATTGAGCTTACGGCGTTCCCAAATACTGTAGTGATCACGGTAATTGACCACAACTACAATGCTGTCAGTCCAGAGCAGTGCCTGTCTTGCGTTTGCCCATGTCTTACGTTTGCCGTTGACATTTCTATGTTATCTTCCTTCTAGTAGTTACTTTTTAAGTGTCTCTTTGTGTGGTCTATATATTGCAAATTCACTATTTTGATTTAGTTTAGAAGCCATGGTGATGTTCTTGATTTGACCGACTTCCCCGCTGGTTTTCTCCTCTACCCATCTGATCTTGTTCACTTTCATAGAACATACAGTCGAGTGGCATTGATTTTATTATTAAAATAGGAAGGCAAAACCATAATGATCAGTTGCCGTAATAGTGTTTTTTACTGAAGCAGTACAAGTCAATAAATATCACGAGAAGAGACAAACAATGAAAAGAACGAAGCCTTCAGACAAATGACCGTCAAATCGAACACGAAATAAACTTAGAGCCAACGAATAGATATAAAGTAGTTTGGATATGTTATAATAATGGGACCACAACAGCCAGCCTAAACGGCCAAAAATAATGCGATTCGATAGCTTCAAAGCAAATGAAAGACCAATAAAGAGATGAATTGGCGGAGTCAAAGAGACCCTTCAAAGGCACAATAACAATTAAGACGATCTAAAAAGCAGCACATCTGGCACACGACAGACAATAATATTTGCGCTCGACGCTTTGTGGCATAACGAGACAGAAAAAATACACGAATAAAGGTATAAGGCAAACCCTTGAAGCTAAAACAATGCCGATACAACGGCAAGTCCTGGCAGTTGACGCAATGGCACCACACGAGTCTTATAGTCCGCGTTGTCATTGTCATTGTCTGAACCTTGGGATATAATCAATACCTCAGAGGCCTCGATTTATGCAAAGTGTCCATCGCTGGGTCGGGGTCGCGCTTAATTTGCACAAATATTCGTACTGTCTTACGTCTCGGTCAGGCAAATTATTGTCCTATGTGGGACAAAGCGTGAATGGTGTATGTATATATTATAAATGTGAGCGCATGCTTGCTGTCGCGCGTGTATTCGACTATCAAGGCACCCCGGAAATAGGGGGTCACAAGAGTGAGAAAAAAATAAAAAAAAGAAGTAGAGGAAAATGACGATAGTAAGGATTAGTAAAGAAAAAGCAGCAGTTCCCTGTTGTAGTTCAGGCACAGTTATGAGCATGAAATTGTAAGATTAGCCCTTTTACAATTCTACTGTGCACTAGAGCGAGAAATGTCCCCCCTTTAGGAATGGCCTAAAAACACTTCAATCAGTGGCACCGCCCCGGGGTGTTCACCAACCCAAAGATATCAAAATAATACAACCAACGAAGAGTGGAGTGGCTTACAGTCAGCGTTAGCAAATACTTATTGTAGGCCTGCTGTTTCTCCTGTCTGCTTTTTGGAACTGAGGACCCAAGTAATAGTCTAAGACAGGTTTTACTGATCTTGTCCATGTGAAACAACGCATTAAAGTCACGACTCATGAAGAGCGCACGTAAACAATGCCGTTAAGTATCATGCTTTCGGACAAGTAGACATAGCAGCGCAGCTAGTCGCTGGTCATCGCATTGCAACGTCTCACAATAACGAACTGGTGAAAAAGAACAGGCACGTATAGTGCAAGGTTATCGAGTGTATTTTGTTCTGTGAAACTCACGAACTCGCCTTTCGCGGTCATGAAAAGGGTGGTTTGTCGTCGAACAGAGGTATTTTTCTCTAACGCTATGCAGGCTTTTCGACTTTTTTGCCCACTCTACGAAATGCATCGACGTTCTCAGACGCGTTTGTCACCGGAATATTCCACGGCCGTCTGAAAAAAAAGTGGAATTTACAAACTCGACTAATTAGCACAGTCTCCATTTGGAAAGGAAAGATCCAGCTTTGTCTTGCAGAAATTCAGTCTGAGCAGAGGGACGATAATTCCATCCATGATGATATCCTGAACGTATTAAGGAGAGAAACATGTCTCTTCTTTTTGTACTTTTTCAACAAAGTGTTCATGCACGTTAACACTGTTTATGGGATCCTCTAACACAGAAGTACAACGCCCATAGCAAACTAACAAGCACTAGACACGTTTAAAGTAGCCGTCGAAGAAATTAGAAACGGTATACGTGTTCTATCAACAAAACAGACCACAGAGAAACACGCTTCCAAGAGACGCAGACATTACAACACCAACAAAATTGCTGCAAAGCAGGCCTGTGACATAATAGTTTCTCAAATGTTTGACAACTACTTGAAGCAATATAAATTCAACGCTCTATCAATCTTCGACTCCTTCAAATTCCAAGACTACCAAAAGTCGTTTCCTACAGTTCTTTTAGGATCGTTTACAGAAATATTACTGTTTTGCATAAAATCAAGTTACATACAGAATTATAAGTATTACATTGCAATGAAATATTTAAGTCTGCTCAAGGTCGTACAATCCAGGGCGTTTAATCAACAAGGACTACAAACCCAACACAACATTTAGAAAAGTATGCAAAATCCTAGAAATCGCACTGACGTTTATGTCGATCGACAAGGACATCATTGACAGCAAGCCCAACTCCGTCAACAGAATAATGGACACTTTTGCTGCAGCAAAAGAACGAAAGGAAGACTTCTTCTTCAAATAGATTTTCTAAAAACAGGTCGGATGAAGAAAGTATCTCATTTACCATACCCTTGACTATCTTCAACCTGCTTTAACCTTATTGTGAACGCCCACTTTTAAGACCCACAAC